TCAATTCAAACACAATTTTCAACTCAAAGATAGGAATGTAAAGTGATCACACTTTTCATAGTGTATCAGATTAGATATACCTCATATACTGTGAATTTACCATCTATTACTAGTTCCCAAAAATATGCTTCATTCACCAAAACACTGTTATTGTTTTGACATATGACAAAGGAATTTTGCATTCATTTCCTAATTTACTGGCGTGATGGTGTATGAAAGACAGACAGAGTGCTTTGTAAAACAAGTTGCAACTTGGAAAGGTTCAAAGAAGTTTAAAACTGCACACCAAGCGAGTGTTATACATGCATATAGTCAGTGTATAGGTTGTCGGTATACATGGAAGACATTTCTTACCCATTACACGTTTACATATAAACACTTCCCTTTTCATATCCTTTAGATTGTAAGCTTGTTTGAGCAGAGACCACAATATTATAATTATTATTTATAAAGAGTTACAGTCTGTTCCGCCGCACTGCACGTAAGAGATGGACCAACAAGTATTTGAAACAAGACAAGTTGGACGCACAAGAAACAGAAGGCGCTGAGGGACCTGCTCAAATGAGTTTGCGTTCTAAGGATATTGTATTCCATATGTCAATTTTGCTACTACTTGTTTATTTCTCCATTCGGTGCACAACACTACAGAATATGTTGGAACTTGATAAATAAATTAAAAAAATAATGAAAGATATTTGGATGTATGCACATTTATCTCCATTCTTCATTAGCTTACAATCTAAGGGGAATTTACATATTTACATCACTAATATGAATATGCAATAACACTGGGCCATGAGAGATGTTACTAAATCCATTAATGTAGGTGTAAAGATATCTATGGGACAGTTGATATAGATCAGGGGTCCTCAATCTACGGCGGCCGGATCCGGCCCGCCAGGGTCCTGAACACGGCCCCAGCATTTAGTGCAACCAGATGAACCCTATATCTTTAGAGGCCCGTTCAGTGCTGCAGTCGTGCAATAGCGCGACAGGGCATCTTTAACAAATTGCAGCCGCTAGTAGTGCTGGGAGGAAGTGAGGGCCGGTTCATTCCTCACAACCCCCCTTCCTCCCCCCGATTTCTCCTCTCCTGTAACTTTCAAAAATAACCTAAGTTCTCAGTGAATACTTTTCTAGCATCCTATTTTATTACCCCTACTTATACCTTTTGTGTCTAGTGACACAAAAGGTATAAGTAGGGGTAATAAAATAGGTTGCTAGAATGTAAGCTCATTAAGCAGGGCCCTTAACCCCTCTGTTCCTGTGCGTCCATTTGTCTGGTTACAATTATGTGTCTGTTAGTCCACCCATTGTATAGCGCTATGGAATTTGCTGGTGCTGTATAAATAATAAAATGAGTTCAAGACGAAATCTCGGAGCACATTTAAAAAAGGTGCAGCATATAAACTTTCCATATATTAATTCAGAGGTTGGCTGACCTGTGATTAAGTACCATGCTCATGCACAAGCCTTGTGAATGGTTTATCCCTGTAAGCACTTCTTCAGTGGCTGCTGAAGTAAAAGTCAGGTTCTTGAGACACAGGATGAGCTAACAAGCATTGAAGCATGAGATAAATAGAGGCAAGTCTAAAATACCCACACATACATACAGCCTGCTAGCAGGATGATCAAGTGTTTAATCATTGTGATCATGGTTATATTCTAATAGACCTAGTAACGGAACACAGAAAACTAATACAATTATATGATGTAATTAATTATATAAAAGCTAAATTGTTAAAAAATGATTACAAGTGTGATCAATTCCAACAGAGCCAGTGCCCTTAGTTGCATGACTGCATCTGAAAATGTTTTTAGTGCACATTGTTTCTCTAATGAAAATCAAATACATTCAATGTCATCATTTAAAATGGCATTTTTGGCAAGTAATGGTTTCTGCAGGAACACGCATGTATCTTTACTTATTAATTAAATATTCCTGAAACTGCTGCCTAGGCCATGGATTTCTACGGATCTCTTTTTGGGAAGAGATAAGCAGGAGACTTTCACAAGGGCTTGAGGGAGTGTACTTAGACATAAAGCAGTGTATGAAAGGGACGAGAATGGAAAAGGCCAATCTTTCAACAGTATAGAATTTCCCTTGCATCCACAACAGGAATTCAGTGTTAGATTTTTAGCTTGATTGGTCCTGTAAAAACCAGCCGCATGGCACTAAGTGTAATATTGTTGCATGACAAAGCCCCCTAAAGCCGTGCATGTTTTTGTGAAAGCTTCCTAAACATGCTGCTAAATCCCTCTAAAATGCGACTTAACTGCATTGGCTTCCATCAGCACAGCATAAGCAGGGCAACAGCAAATGAACAAATAGAAAATATGCTGAATGGGCAAACAAATAGGTTTCAGCTGGTCTTTTTGGTTCACAGATACGGGCACACTGTGAATACCAATCACTGTATTCTCTGCTCTACTGAAAATCACAATATCTCTTTTTATCCTGCAAGCTCTTTTCACCAATGTCTCTTTCTGTCTTCTGGGCTTCCGCTGCCTCAAGTCCAAAGGTCTAGAAAAAGCTATTCAAGCCTGACTAAAATCTTTAACCTATTTTTTTTTTTTTCCCAGATGTAATATACGTGCCTCTTTGTTACATTGTGGTAACAAAGGAACATAGGATTTCTAAATGAATATTATTTTAAACATAGCAGTAAAAACTGCTTCCAGGGTCAACCTGAAACTGTTTTACCTTATGTGCATAAACGTAAATAGGGAAAAGCTGATCAAATATATATATTACTACATAGGAATTAAAATGTGTCAAGTATATATCATTATACATACAGACACACAAACCCTAACACACACACATGCAAAATGTTTAAGGCACCCTTCTGTTTCCTACATTTTAGATGCAGGAGGGTGACTTCACTGGGGTCCAGTGATGGCTCAGCCTGATGGGACTCTGACTCCCTCTTCTCTTCTTCCCACGCGGCTCCCAGTGGTTGCTGGGAAGAAGTGACAGGGGCAGTCAATTCCTCCCTGCGCTCTGACCTCATCACAGCGGGCCTGGTCGTGCTGTTAAAGCGCCACAGCGCTGACTGGGCCCCCTGGATATTCATTGCCATTGGATGGCCCTAACAGCATGGTGCCCTTAACGTGCGGCTCCGGTGGATCTACCGCGTGGCCGGGGCCGCAACACATGGCGGCGGGCACCCGGTCAAAGGGGTCCTCAGGGCGTCCGGGCCCGGTCGCAGCTGCGAACCCTGCAACCGCGGTTGTTCCGCCACTGACTATAGTGTACTCCTTTCCTACCCTCCTTAGCATGCTATGCCTTTCCTACCAAAAAGATTTGGGAGCCAGTTCCTGAGAGGGCGAGGATATTTCTCTTCTCTTGCTCAATTGCATTCCTTCACATATAAGTTATTTCTGCATCAGTCTTTCAATGCACATTTCAGTCTTAGAAGATCAGTTTCAGAGTAGTTATCCAGTGGTTATCTTGCTCATAAATAGCAAAATATTTTAAAGTTAAATATCAAAATAATTATTGTGAAAAAAGACTTGTAACAGGATCAATTATGTTGCATATAATATTATGATTATTTATTTTATGGAAATACCATTATCAATGCCATCTTCATAGTATTTTTTTATTTTCTGTGTGTGTTCTCAGCTGTATATTTTAAATACAGGACTGATTAAGGGCATTTTCCTAAAGTGTTTACATATTTAACATGTGTTACCGTATCTTATAAAGACATATAAACGTAGTCCGAATCACTGTCCTTTTTCGTGGTTTAATAGATCATGTTGTGATATAGTTAATTTACCTCAGTGGGTTTGCTACATCTATAAACATAGTTATGGGAACTTGGTAACTGAGATATTGCCTATGAATACACGTTTCCTTTTGTGTCTTTGCAGATCGATGCCCTCTGCCGAGAAGCTGCTCTCCTAGCTCTCCAGGAAGACATACATGCACAGTGCATCATGGGAAGACATTTTGACCAGGCTCTCGCTATTGTGAAACCAAGGATTCCAGATTCTCTGATTCAGTTTTACCAAACTTACCAACAAAAAAGTGGACTACACAATTTATAATGTTTTATGATTTGCTTTTTTTTAAAATCTATATTGATACATCAACCAAATAACACTTATGAATAACTTGAAATAAAATAAACGAGTAAAACTTTTTTTTTTATCTACATGGTTAGTATTGTGTTTCTTATTGGTAAGGATACATTGTACATTCCTAAGTGCCTTTGAGTGTGTTACATTATTTTGCTCAGTTCCAGCTACAGCTATGCTAGCTACACAGAGAGCTATTCCACTCACTGCATATACAAAGCAACCTATGCTACTCAAGCTGTAAACATTTTTAAGGAGGCACCCCTGAAATTTGGCAGAAGGAGTTTGAGTGCAACAAGATTGGCCGCAAATAAAAGTGATCTGCTAGTGAAATGGGAATTGTGATGAGAATGTGAAGATTGTGAGGCCAGAATATGGATTTTTTTTTTCTAAATAACCATTTCACCTATCACTTTTTTGGTTATCTCTTTCTGCAAACTATGTACCCTCAATAGTACTTATCATTATAGTGTTAATGCGGGATTTTGATCAGATAACATAAAATCCTTCTTTCTATCTATTTTAAGACACTTGGAGGTGGACTTAAATCCAGCTGTTTTGGATCCATGTCCTGCTGCATAACCCAGTTATTCATGAGTGTCAGATTTTGGACTGTATATAAGAATAAAAGTCTGAGAAGCAGAAGAACAAAGATGGAGATATCTAAAAGTAGTGCTAATAAAAATTTTTTTTAAAAAGTGGAACACAGTCTAAAGCTTGGAGAAATCACCATGAAAACCAGTCGAATATGCAGGAAGATTCAATCGGTTTCCATGTTTGCTTCACTTTTAGAACTCTGATTCATTTTTCTATTTTCAAAACCTTTAGAAACCCTCCCATATCATACAAGTAACTTATGATGGGAAGTGAGTGATCTTAAAAACAATGGGTTGGTGTAAAATACTCAGGATTCAGGGAACTTTACATTTTAGACCACAAATGCCAACCCGGAAAAACTAGTGCCTCGATTTAATATTTTTGGATAAGGTTTTCAAATGATTCAAACCTGTTAGAAAAACTTTCCAAATAATTCATCAACAGGAGTCACCCCTAAAATCCAAGGGATAAATCATTTTAAAAAAAAAAACATCCAAATATTTCAAATCGAGGCCTAAGTAGAATGTTTTTTCAAATACAGCTAATTTTGCACACTGAAATTTTCTTGTTAAATTCCCAACAATTACCAATTTAATGAATAATTCTGATAGACATATGTACAGAAATGTTGTTGGGTAGTACTGTTGTAATTTACCAGAAGTAGCACATCACTGTTACTCTCTTTTAGTGCTCAAACTGTCTGGACATTTCTTTTTCCATTATCATTTTTTTTTTCCTGTGCAACTGTTATGATTGTCATAGATTATGACTTTGAAATTATATGGTAGGGAAAGTGACCACACAGTGCAGTATTCATTTGCCAGACAGAGGCTGCCTTCTGTGCTTTTGTAAGCACACCTCGAGTGCTCACTTCCTCTCTACCTGCCTCATTACATTTTGTATGTGTACGGAAACTGCAGGTTAACTTCCGTCACTCACCCACTTTTAACCTTTAATATGAGACATTGAAAGAACCTTGTATGCTTTGTAAGAACCATGTGCATGTTCTGCTTTCATTGGAAGAGTAAGGGAAAAAACAGCTAATTTTGTTCATTTTTTTCTTTCCCCATGTTTCATGGCTGTAACTGTGTGTTGCTAAAACAACAGGACTGCTCTGCAATAAAGTAACATTTAACACTTATTCCACCATTTTCAAGCTATACTGTACTGCTTATTTACTAAACTAGGAATTATACGTTTTAATCCATAATTATTATTATTTTATTATTTATATAGCGCCATCAACTTCCGTAGCGCTGTACAATGGGTGGACTAACATACGTGTAATTGTAACCAGACAACTGGACGTACAGGAACAGAGAGGGGGAGGGCCCTGCTCAATGAGCTTACATTCTAGAGAGAGCGGGGTATAGTGACACGGGGTAAAAGTAGGGGTACGAAGTAGGTTGTTAGAAAAGTATTAATTGAGGGCTTAGTAGGTAATTTTTTGACAGTTCCAGTTCACCACTTTAGTTTAATTTATATGCTTTCTTGAAGAAGTGAGTTTTCAATGATTTTTCGAATGAGTGGAGACTGGGTGAAATTCTTACGGAGAAGGGAAGGGAGTTCCACAGAAGAGGTGCAGCCCTGGAAAAGTCTTGGAGGCGAGCGTTCGTGGTGGGAGTACGGACAGAGGATATACGTAGGTCTTTGGCAGAGCGTAGGGGCCTCGACGGGACATACTTGTGTATTAGGGAGGATAGGTAGGTTGGAGCAGCATTATGTAGGGACTTGTAAGCAAGCACCAGAATTTTAAATTGAGCCCTATATCTAACTGGAAGCCAATGCGGGGACTGACAGAGCGGAGAGGCGTGAGAGGTGCGGGCGGACAGGAAAATTAGCCTCGCCGCCGCATTCATTATAGATTGCAGCAGTGCAATCTGTGAACACGTAAGACAACTGAGAAGAGTATTGCAGTAGTCCAGGCGAGAGAGAACAAGAGCATGGACCAGCACCATAGCCGCACCGGGGTTAAATAGGGACGGGTGCGCGCTATGTTTTTGAGATGGAAGCAACAGGACTTGATGATTGATTGGACATGAGATGAGAGGTTGGAGTCAAAAAGAACACCCAGGCAGTGAGCCTGCGAGGTTGAGGTGATGGTAGTGCCATTGACTTGGAGGGAAACAGACACGGGAGTAGTAACACTTGAGGGAGGAAAGACCAGAAGTTCTGTTTTGGACAAGTTGAGTTTAAGGAAGTGAGCAGCCATCCATTTGGAAATCGAAGAGAGGCAGTCAGAGACATGAGTCAAGATGGGTGGAGAGAGATCAGGAGAGGACAGGTATATTTGCGTGTCATCCGCATAGAAATGATAACGGAAGCCAAAGGAGCTGATGAGTTTACCAAGGGAGGCAGTGTAGATAGAGAACAGTAGGGGACCAAATACAGAACCATGGACGCCGACAGAGAGTGGTTGGGGGGAAGAGTCAGAGAAAGAAACACTGAAAGAGCGCTGAGAGAGGTAGGAGGAGCACCAGGAGAGAGCAGTATCCCGTAGACCAAAATTACGGAGAATGCGTAGAAGATGTTGATGATCAACAGTGTCAAAGGCAGCAGAAAGAGCAAGGAGAATTAGGATAGAGTAATGGCCGTGGGATTTAGCAGCAATTAAATCGTTGGATACTTTGGTCACAGCTGTTTTGACAGAATGACCAGCGCGGAATCCAGACTGAAGGGGGTCAAGCAGAGAGTTGGTTTTGAGAAAGTCAGTCAGTCTGGTGTACACAACTCTCTCGAGAATCTTGGAGGCAAATGGCAGTAGCGAGATAGGGAGGTAGTTGGATGGGGAGTTGGGGTCAAGGCTGGGCTTTTTCAGAATTGGGGTTACAGTTGCATATTTGAAGGGTGAGGGAAATGTGCCAGAGGAAAGGGAGAGATTGAAAATTTTAGTGAGGGGAAGAGCAAGAGAGGGAGACATAGTGCAGATCAGATATGAAGGAATAGGATCGAGGGAACAGGTGGTGGGGCGGGAGGACCGGAGCAGAGCAGAAACCTCTTCTTCTGCTGTAGCAGGTGCGAATGAGTGCAGAATGGTGGAGGGAGTGGGGTTGGGTGATGTAATGGTAGGGGAAGTAGATAAGTTAGTGATCTCTTCTCTGATTGTAGAGATCTCAGTGTAGTGAGATGCAAAGGCTGTGGTGGACAAGGTGGTAGAAATAGGGGGATTAAAAGGGCGAAGAATCAAAAGTGTGAAAATAGGTGTTTGGGTTGATGGGACAGTGTACTTATGAGGGTGTTAAAGTAATTTACTTTTGCAGCGGAGAGAGCCAGGCTGTAGGAGTGCAGCATAAATTTATAGTGGAGGAAGTCAGATGCAAAGTGTGACTTTCTCCAGCAGCGTTCAGCAGTTCTAAAACATTTTTGGAGGTAATGGGTAAGCTTGGTGTGCCAGGGTTGTAAGTGGGGGCACTTGCTGCAATTAATTGTAGGAGGTGCCATGATGTCGAGTTGAGAGGATAGAGTTGAGTTGTAGAGTGAGGCAGCTGAGTTAGGGCAAATTAGATTTGAGATGGGTAAAAGGAGAGTATTGAGTTAAGTGGAGAACTGCTGGAGATCAAGGCAGTTGAGGCATTGTCAGAAATGAAAACATGCTCAACATTTTTTCACAAAGATTATGATTGGCTGCTGGTGTGCCCACATCCCCAGAAGGGTCTTTCTGGAGCGCCAATTCTGTCCAAAAAGCGGTCGATCGAAGATGTCTACTCAAGTTCTTGATGTCATTCAATACCTTAGTACCCATTCTACCACCCCTCCAAAAAGCACCCTGACTGCTGGACCTGGGACAGAGAGTACCCTTGTTGAAGTTGCAGCAACTGCACAATCTGCTCCAGAGTTCCAGAGAGTTTTGGGGCTGCTACTGGTGAGGCTCACCGTGTCTCAACAGACCCCTGGCCAGTTTAGGTGGACTCCTGGGCCTCTAGGAAGGGGCGCTGGGCTGGGAGGCACGGGCTGGAGTGGGAAGTAATAGTGATTATAGTCTTTTAAGAGAGAGGTAACAGTTGGGCAGATGTACCAGTGGGTAATATACCAAGCAGAATGGAATAAAATATCCCTAATTATAGGCCACTATGTAAGTGAAAACACTGCCTGCAATAAATACACGAAAAGAGAAATTATCTGTATTGAAAAAGGGAAAATAAGGGGAAAAAATTATATACAGTCCCAGTGTGTACACACTAAAAATTCAAAGACATGCATCTATGGGTGGATGCTCTTGGACAGATCTCACCACTACTGATGTTGTAGAAAGTCCTGACTTGGCCCATGCGGTCTTGCTGTAATTCCAGCGTGGTGGCCTATTTAGATGCGCCTCGCGGTACACGATGCAGAGTGTCGTCTGATACAGAGTCCAAGAGATCCAGTGGGGATTGGGATATCCCCCACTGGTCCAAGCGGGTAGGGGGGTTAACAGGGCTGTCGCAGAGTCAAGATATGCCCTCAGTATCGGGGATCGTCCGTCTCCCCCAGCTTCTAGCATGCCTGTCACAGAAGGCCGCAGGCAAGGACGTGAAATACAAGTACAATAGCAACCCAAACCTGGATCAGGACATTGCAGTGCACTCGTCGGCAGGTAGTGAAGGTGTGCTGTGGACATGTAAATCCGCCAAAATATCCGATTTGTAGCCTGGGTCTCTGGGAGCTACAGGTAAACACGTCCGGCCATCTTGACTGCAGGCCCCACCCCTGCTAGATTTAGATTTGTATCTACAGATCATTATCCAAAAAGGCTTGGGTATCATCAAGGTAGTTTGTTTTAAATGTGAGACGAACACCAATGTTTCTCTTAGCAAGGGTTTGCAACGTCTGTAAAAGTTCTATAAACTCCACCTTTGCCCAGCGATTTTCTTGTTCTCAAATAATAAAGTTTGATGTGAGTCCAGACTAAAGAGGCATGCAGTTCCTGGGTGTTTTTGTAACCTTGATAATTTGTTACACCCTTAGAAGAATTTTGGTAGGCCAGTAACTCATGGAAGGATGTAACACCATATCAAGTTACCTCCATTTGAAGATGGCTACTACTGTGTTTAACTACAGTCAGAGGGGCTTATGAATGGTTTTGTAATAAAAGTGTGCTGCATGTTGAGAACTTGTAGCCCACTCAAAAGTAAAGTTCTACAAGTTTGGCTGCAATTAATTAAACCCAGGTTAGTCTGCTCTAATTTGAACAAGTTTGGTTAACTGGTTGAGTAATTAAGGGAGCAATTATTTTTTCACACCAGATGATGTTGGATAACATTTTCTTTGTAGAAATAAGATAATTTAAAGGAACCCTCCAAGCACCATAGCCGCAACAGCTCACTGTTGCCCAGGCTGCCTTCTCAAATTGTAAGGAGTCAACCCGCTCCTTGCCTCCACTACTAATAATGGAGAACTGGAAGCTCCCTCTCTGAGCTAAGTGCACTGTAGTGGTTATGGTACTCGGAGTCTTCCTAAGTAATAAACTTCATTCACTACTGAGTTTAAATTATTTGTATCCCAGTTTTGCTCAAACTGAACCAATGGTTAGTTATTCATTTGTGAGATATAACTCAAATATCATTGCCAGTAGAGCTCCTCGTGTTAAACAAATTAAAATAAAAATCAAATTATACAAATATCAGGCAAAATGATACAGAGACATGAGTTTTCATGTCCTAGGTGTATACAAAGTTTGCTTGCATGGAAATTTCCTTAAAAGAAATGATCCTACTGACATGTGCCAATGCATCATTGCTTTGCAGTTTAACACACACTTTGCTTTCCAAGTGATTTTGGTAATCTGCCAGACAACACTTCCTGAAAGAAAGAGTTAATCTGATTTACATTCGGCCACATGCAGCTTTGCTTTCTCACATGTTGTGCTTCCCAGAAAGCTTAACATTGTAGAAAAGAAATTCAGGCTCTAATTAGTTTTCTTTTTTTTTTCCTCTACTACTTCTTCAAAATTACCTTGATGAGACTGATTTTTTTTTTTTATTATTCTCCAATCACCATCTGGTCCCTACTTAGAAAGCTATTGTCCCGATGTGAAGGATTAACTCTGTAAA